ATAAAGTAAACATTGTACATATGGGCTCAAAGATTAGGCCCATTTTTGTATATTAAAAATATGGGCTAAACTTATGGGTCCCACTCACTGGGCTGAAATTATTATCAATATTCGAATGGTGGTGTTTCGTCTCCGGAGCCATTTCTCGTCAAAGCCATTGACCGATCTTCAGCTTCTCTCCCATGGCGGAATCAAGTTTCGAGTAATGCTTCTCCTTCTTTGCATCTCTCTTCTCCTTTTGTTTTCTATCTTATTGACGTCAATTTTAGCCATCCATTTCTCCAATCGTATATGTGTTATTTGATCTGATCGTCTTTTTTGTTTCGTGCTTTGTTGGGGTTTCTCGCAGTTCCTTGAATGAAGATTATGCTGAGATTGTTGTTGTTCGTCATGGAGAAACATCTTGGAATGCGGAGCGAAAAATCCAGGTTAATTTCAATTCAACAATGGTTTTTTGTATCTTCTTCATTCCCAAATTTGTTATGATTAGTACCTTTAATTCCTCTTGTTTTTAATGGAATCTTGATTTGAGATGTAAGAATCTTAGTTTAATTGGGTTTGATTGGTTGCAGGGTCATTTGGATGTTGAGTTAAACGATGCAGGAAGACAACAAGCAGACAGAGTATGTGTCCTCCATTTTTTAAACAATTTATCTTGTGGTTGTTGCTGTAACCTTGGCTTTGAATGATGATTGATGAAACTTTCTTTTTACTTCGAAAATAGGTCGCAGAGCGATTATCAAAGGAGCCTAAGATATCTTATGTGTACTCTTCTGATTTGAAGAGAGCCTTTGTGACTGCACAGATCATTGCAGCTAAATGCGGAAAGCTTGAGGTATTACCAAAAATCCATAGACATTCAAAAACATAGCTATGCGTCCTTTGATGAATCTGCTCACCTTTGTCCTCTTTTTGTTTCGCTTGTAAGCATTTGGTTCTTGGTTCTTGGTTCTGAAATAACCACTTTTATCTACTACATTCATATGGCTATCTAGACACCGTAGAGGCTCAACTGTGTATAATGTTATGCAGGTACTTACTGATCGTGATTTGCGAGAAAGACATTTAGGGGATATGCAAGGTCTTGTGTATCAAGAAGCTTCGAAAATTCGCCCGGAAGCTTACAAGGCCTTTTCATCATACCGCACTGACGTTGATATTCCAGTAAGATATTAGTTTATAAACCAAGAAGCTTAGTATATGAATGATGTTTGGTTGCTTAATTTGACTAAAATTTTCCTCGTTTATACGAATGAAGGGTGGAGGTGAAAGTCTTGACAAACTTTACGATAGATGTACATCCGCATTACAGAGAATCGGCGACAAACACAAAGGTTTGTTCTTCTTTCTCACAAATCATATTAGTTAGTACTCACTCAACAGTCAACACATAGGTTCTTCTTCTAAGTATTGGTTTTTTTGGCTTGCTTTTGTGGTGATGATGAAGGTGAAAGAGTAGTAGTAGTAACTCATGGAGGTGTGATTCGATCACTATACGAAAGAGCTTGTCCAAGTGCAAGAAAAGTTGAAAAGATACTGAATACATCGGTTAATGTGTTCCGGTTATTCGACGGAGACAAATGGACAATCCAAGTTTGGGGAGATGTGACTCATTTGGACCAAACCGGTTTCTTACAATCCGGTTTTGGTGGTGACAGAACCTCTGGTTAGGATTCAGTGCCACTGAGCTTTTATGTAATTTAAGTTTGACTCCATAACTTACTTCTGTTTCGCATTTTGACCTCATAACTTTGAGATTATCCCAAATTAAACAGTCACTAGATTTTAATCCACGCCAAACGTGAGATTAAATAATTAAATATATTTTTAATCGAATTTAATATTTATACGTGTATTCTAATATTTATAAACGTACAAAAATGATATATATTGTGCATAAATGTAATGAAGTTAAATTTTGATCAAACATAATATATTTGTTATTTGTTATTTTTAATTTCTCTCATCTATTAAAAATAATAATGAATTTTTGTTTCCGAATAATCTAATCCCGTGTTTGACTCAGATCAAAATATATAGTAGTTATTGAAAAGAAAATAAGATATTTCCAAATATTTTTTATATTGCTTAAATAAAATTTTGTATATTAGTTACCATATATTTGTCATTAAGAATTTGTAATAATTTTTATTAGAAAAAAAGTTTTTTAAAATCCTTTTTAAATGACATATATGATTTTTTACCTAGTCTGTACTCAGTTAATACAGAGAGAGGATTGGGAGGATTGGTAAAGTGAAATTGCTATAATTCTCTCAACAGTTTCGTATAGTCAGAGGATATATGGTCCACTATTTAAATTGAATCTAACGCCTCTGTTAATTTTAAAATTGATTATAGTCATCGTTTCCTAGTAAAATAAACCAAAAGTATTGTGTATATTTTAAGAAAAAAAAATTAGTTTTAAAGAATGAGTCGTCTGATCAATTTGGACTTCTGACAACTAATAAAAAAATGTTGCTAATGAAGCCGAATAATAGACGATTGACTTAACAAAATTAAGGAAGTTTTTTTCCAATGAGTATGTATACGTCTGAATAATCCGGTAATTAATTTTTTTGCAACAGAGAGAAATACGTTTGAAGATGAAATAATTTTCTTTTACTAAACAAAATATACGTGACATTGAACAGCGGAAAATAATTAATATTGGAAATGAAATAAGATTCTGAAAGGGGACCAAATCTTTGGTGACCCAAATATCTCTATTTAAGATACAGTGTTGGAGTCTGTGAATAGAAAACATTGAACAATGAAGTGTTTCGTTAACTTGACTGAACTATATAATAAACTAAACTAGTTAAGTTAACCTTCAATAAAAACATTGGGATCATTAAAACTTGTCTTTTTTCTTGGAGATTGAGAAAAAAGATCGTATTTACGAAATTATCCTCTGAGTCCCACTTTGATTTTGGCGCCATCATTATCAAAAAAAGGAAAAGGAAGAAAGGTAGGTTGAGTCCATTTTGACCATTGGCCCCAGGGCTCTTTCTGATTTTGGCGGCAATGGCTAAAGGGTAAAAATGTCAAAAACAGAACAAAGTAGAGATGTGTTATTTTCCTAAGCTCCATGATTGTCATCATTAGGAGAATATGAGTGTCATGTTGTTGCTTTCTTTCATCGGACTTTTTTTAGTGATATGTTGTTGTCTTCTTTTAGTGAAGTCTAGATTATTTTCTCGAGTTGGTATGTGAAAATTTTAGTGTTTTTACTAAAACTCTGTATATTAGTTTAAAATGTGGAAAAATATTTTCCATCAGATGACTTACATAGAAAAATAAATAATTATGTGTTCGCGCTTCTTTTAAAAGGTAGTCGACAAAAATATTTAAACTATGTGGTGGAATATGATGAATACTAAATTCAACAAAAATATTATGAAAAATGTCAAATTATCCTATTCTAGTTGGAAAAACAATCAATTTACTTGATTTTCGGTCATCTTTACTAAAAGCATATATAGCAACCCGTCTCAAACTTCTCAATTCGGCAATACATTGTCCAATTTTGTTTTTTTTGTTCTAAACACATTGTCCAAATAAATAAGTTCATCCAATTCAACATGACAAGAAGATAAGCTTCGTCTACATCCTTGTCCACGAGGCAGCATGTTAGTCAACTTACAAGCTATTTGTCGATCTTTAAGGCGTCGATTTGGCAAGACGGGCGAGGGAATGTAGAACCACGTTAGGCACCACCTTATTCGTTATCTCCCCCTTTCGAGATTTGTAATACCACGTCATCTTTTTCCCCAGTTCGCGCTCCTTCAACTTTTTGTTTTGATGAGAACTAGTTA